CTGCCAAGCGTCCCCAAATAGATGCCACGAGGCACGCTGGCTAATACGTTACAATATATATATATATAAATGTATGTATATATATATATATATGACAATTATTTATGCAGGTTAATGATTAGCTAAAGACTTATTAACATAAACAAATTGCTCTTGCTCCGCGCCGCTAAGGCGCCAGCAGGCCGACGAACGCTGCCGGCGTAACCGCGAGCCGACGCTGACCTTCCCGGCGCTGCCGCGCGGACGCAACAAAAGGACTTGGGGGAAAGGGCCGACTGTGGCCGCCCTGCTGCCTGATCTGCCAGGCGTTTGGACGCCGGATCGCCGCCCCTGTAAGGCGAGTCACGACCGCCCGAGAGGACAAGCCGACCCACGAGCTAAGATAAACTCTGGCCATGCCGGTAAATATAAATTAACAGTAGTTTTAAGTTAGTCGTAAACATTATTTGGTATTGCGCTTCACCCACATCGAAACTAGCAATAATTAAATTTACTTTGATGAAAATGAACCTGTGTATCAAATCTAGTAGTGAGACCAAACATGCATGCCTCCCTCTAGGGAGTCTGCCGACGAAGCAGCCGGGCAATGCTGTATCGCCAGTGGAAAAGCAGGTAATCAGGTGAGTCGGTGGTTACAATATATACACATATACATACATATATTTCACTAATTACCTGAAATAACGCAAAAACTACTAATTTTTTTAAAAAAATGTGTATAGAACCTTTTTTAAGTGCTAATTTTGTACTACAGACATTCTGAAGCAAAAATCTCCATCTTCAATTGTGTAGTTTTGAATTTTTTAAAATTAAAAACAAACTAACGCTATATTTCTAACGGTTCGTTATAACGTATGTGGAAAATGTTTTTCCATTTTTCGAAAAATTGGGAATGACAACTAAAATGAGACCATCACCACTCTCTTAAACGTCCTTTGCACTATAGAACAACAAAATTTAATCAAACAATCTGGGGCCAGCTTTTGAAAATTTTGAAAATGTCTCTGCGGCGTAATGAAACGATCTCCAAAAATTAAAATTTCGGTTTTAAAATCCAGGATACCGTGACATCAGCTAGAACGATTGGGGAATATCAATTTTGGAGAAAACCGGCTGAACGGTTTATGTGAGGGTTGTAGACGGCGTTTTGCCGTCAATAGATTTTAGAGTTTAAAGATCCAACAAAACAGATTCTGCCTACACCACGTGTTAGAAGACTTTTTTCTCTATTTAGCAACTGGATTTCTCCACTCTTTCGTTTCCAGAACCCGGCAATAAGAGTTTTTGTATTAAAAATTTCGCGTTAACGGCGCACCATTACAATACTTTCTCTTCTTGCGTTCGTACGAGAGAGAAAGTAAACTAGTGATGCTACAACAGCACATACGTTCTCGCGATATCGGAAACGGCTAAGTAATATTGAAATATAGCATTTTCTGCGCTAGTAACACCTCAGCCATTATTTTAAAATGTCCAATTCAACCAAGAAGTAAGCAACGTCCTGTTACCAGCGCCGCAATATCAAAAGTATGTGAATTTTCTTAGCTAATATTATCAATTCAATAATTAAAATATAAGCAATTGACATCAAAGTTATTACGAACATTCGTGAGATGCGTTTCGTCGTAAGATAAGAGATTCGATTGCGTTTCATTTAATAACAGTTTAAAATACACTCTTCAGATACGATAAACACTATAGCCTTTCAACATGTTTTGTTGTTAGGCGAGATTTCCCTTAAGTTCTGCGGATTGCTTAAAACGAAATACATGAATACATTGAGAATACGCATTGAGTAACAAGTAAAAAAGCGAGAAAGGAAAAATATAATGAATATTGACATTTTCATAAGGAAATTATGATTAAACTTAAAATATTTTTCATATCATTAAATCATTTTTTCTTGTGGCCGGATGTTGGTTTGAAACCTATATATGTTTCATTAATTTAACAAGAAATAACGCAAAAATTACTAGTTATTAAAAAAAATTGTACATGGCCTTTTTTGAAGAGCTGATTATGAATAGTTTTGGAAACAAAAATTGATCCCAGCCGTCTACGGTGAAGTTCAGCTTTTGCACAGCTAGGGCAACTATTATCATGACAAAACATCGCAGGAGGGGCCTCAAAAACCACTGCAACCAATCTTAACGGATGAAGGGTGCTAACAAAATTATAAAGTAGAGAATGGCGGACGTCACTAGTGAAACAATTGTTATGCACAATAAAACAATTTTATGTACATGAAAGTAAATTCATTGAAATGTATCACGAATTGTAAGTAAATGCATTCACTTCACCAGTTTTAACACATTTCTTTTTGACGATACGTTAATATGCAATAAGATAACCCCAATTTTCCACCAATTACATTCTGATAGACATTTTAATTTCAATATAACTTTTCATACAGAAGTCATGCACTTTATCAAATGTCAAATGTCCACTTTAATAAAGATTTTATCAATAAGAAAACCTATTACAATTGCAGATTTGCCATTGTATGTTTATAAAATTTGTAAAAATTGCATAATAATGTATTTCTCGAATCCATAGAGGACGCCTAGGGAGCCATTTTGAATTGAATTGATGCCTCTTCCATTTGACCACGCATATTTCGCTACGCTCTTTTCACCAACTAGCGGAGGAAGGAGGTATTTCTTGGGCAACGAACGGGCGATTTGAATTTATCTGAGAGGCGTCATTTAGGCATGAAGATCTTTTACATGCAAGAAAATCTACTAACATGGGACAGTCGGCTTTACTTCCCCTCCGAAGGAAGGCGTACGGACGATTTTTTCGCCCTTAAAAATCTACGACTTCGACATGGTTTGAACCCGCCAACTTAAAGGGTTCCACAAAAGGGTATAACAGGCCCCTACGCTAACCATTACACCATCGCCGCGGCCAAATTCAGTAATATTCAAAGACCAAGTGAATATTTATCATTATAGTAACAATTAAGCGAGATATTCCGAAATCAATTTGCATCTGTCAAAATTATTTTGCAATGTTAAACTTGGGTACAAATTTGGGTCACTCCCCGGCAGAAATAGATAGTATTTTTTAAATTTATTATAAGTCTCATCAATATCTAGGGCATTAGCGACTAATTAATTACAATATTTTACATTTCATATTAAAAATAATAAGATTTTACAACGATGAGGTTACATTACAATGATAATTATGGGCACAAAACCTTAAAATTACATCGATGATAATTATAACAGAAAGGAGTATGATATTGTTTTATTCTAATACAGCAAATAAATATTGCCCAAATCACCTATTTGAGATATAATTGTAAAAAACCTTACGCTATTGAACCCTTTCCTCTCTATTTGAACGGTTTTAAAATGCAGGTTCGTTTCTGTCGCAATTACAAATTAAAGTCAATGCTTGTAAAGTTCCAAAAGCGAAGTGTCACAAACGCCATCGCTGACCGGAAATGGGAAAAAAATTATCTTACAAACAACTGTTCATATTTTCACATCAAATTGTGTAAAATCTATTTGTAACTATTTATTTTATTAAAAACTCAGATGCCAAATTGCCAAGATGCTAAGATTCCTCTTCAAATACTCTCTTCATTTCAGATAAATATCTACGTGTATATAGTTCAGTTTAAAAATCAAATATTGTTCAATTTCCAAGAATATATCTGCTGCATAACACTTTCCTCGAGGATTAAATATTAAAATGATCTATATTCACACTTCGATAGTTAATTATTAATAAATATCGAAAATAAAAATATAGGCTCCATAATGTCTCAGGGTGATTCAACATTATTCCTTTCATTGCACCGCAATTATCGGCAGCAGATTCATATTACCAAGTAGTACGTATTTTCTGCAATTTTGAAGGTATTAGTGAAATTGATGGAATTCAAAGTTTCTCCTGATTTATTTTCCAAAATAATTTGTTTATAATCGATTTCCTCACTAGACATAAGGATATCAGAATGCACTTTGCACTACTGAATAGAATATAGATAAATGGCGAGGACGCCGATCGGATTGCACAATTTTTCATGGATTATGTATGTTTCAAGTTCATGGATTACGTATGAAAAATAATAATGAAATTAAAATGTCTATGAGAAAGTAGTTGGTGTAAAATTAGTGTTATTTTATCTTGTATCAACGTACTTTCTTCAAAACGAAATGTGTTAAAACTGGTGAAGTGATAGCGTTTATACATATATTTTAATGAATTTCATGTTCACAAAATTGTTTCATTCCATGTATTTTTATCCGAAAAAATTTCCACATTCACAACTAGGGACGTCCGCAATTTTTCTACTTCATAATTTTGTTAGGCCACAGCCCGCTCCATTTGGTTGGCTGCGGTTATTTGTGAGGCACCGTCTGCGACGTTTCGTCATGATAACTTCTGCGCAAGCCGCACAAAAGCTGAACTGAGACGCGGACGACCGCGATCATTTTTTATTTCCAGAACTGTATATTTCAATCGTAAAATATGCCAAAACTACTCGTGCGTTAAAAAAATGTACATAACCTTTTTTGAAGAGCTAAGTATGCACAACAAACTTTGTCTGATACAAAACTTTGTATCTCCAATTTGGAAGGGTTTTTTTTTCAATATTCGAAAAATCGAGGATGTCAACGAAAATGACACTATTCAATTAGCTTTTGCTTTTGCACTATTCAACAACAAAATTTAATCGAAAAATTAGGAGCCATTTTTCTTGAAAATTTTGAAAAAGTTCCAGGGGCGTCGTGGAAAGTACCCTTAAACTTACAATTTGTCAAACCATGTCAGTATACCCGCTAAGGCCGCTTTCACCCGGAGAAACTCGGCAGCGCAACAGAGAAACACCGGGCCCCTTCCCAAATGTAGCCATCGACCAGCGCCTCTGCGCGCGGGAAACGACGGATCCTAGAGTCCCAAATATGAGCGTCGACAGCCACGGCAGTCAACATGTTAACAGCTAAGCTCAATAGCGCATTCGAGTGGTCTAGCTTGAAGCCTGCTAATTTGTCAAGCGTTTGCGTTGTTAGTGGCGGGAGGCCATTAACCACCACAGCGCCGCACGTGTACTTGCTGTACACGTGTAATATTAAAATTCCGATAATTAGTATTTTTCTCAAATAATGCTATGTAACGTTAGGGAAGAGGAGAGGGAATGACAAGGGTACGGTAGGATAAAGCGTATTATGAAGGGGAAAGGAAGGAAAAGGAAAAATGGATAGAGGAAAAATGTATAAGGAAAAATTGATAAGAAAAAAGGAAAAAAGAAAAAAAGAAAAAAAGAAAAAAGAAAAAGGAAAAAAGAAAAAATGAAAACGGAAAAAAGGAAAAGGGAAAAAAGGAAAAAAGGAAAAAAGGAAAATGGAAAGGAAAAGGAAAGCAAAGGAAAGGGAAGGGAACAGAAGGAGGAAGGAGCCTGATTCCTTTGATTTGAATGAGTACCTGGTTGGCGGCGACGAAGTCCGGGCAGAAGGCCGAAGGGCGAGGCTGCAAGGCCTGCAGGTGGGGGCGAAGCTGGCGCAGGAGGTCCGGCTCGAGGACACGGGCGCGCTCGGCCGCTTGCGCCAGGTTGGCGCCCGAGATGTCCCACCCGTCCAAAGCCACATCCTCGGGCTGCACGAGGGGCAGCAGGCTGCCCAGCGGCACGTGCACGTCGCGACCCTCGGCGTCCGTCCCCAGGCGCACCGTCGACGCCTGCGTGATGGACCCGTACCTGCAACGCGTCACGCTCATTCAAGTCTCAGCGCGCGCCTGCACTGGCAGATTTTTACGATTTTATCTTACAGATATTGAAACTCTATTTCTTGTTGTACGAGTATATACACAAAAGATATAAAGTACATAAAAACTCGGAGTCCGTTAACAAAGTCCTATAATATTTATAAATCATTGAGAAATATTCCAAGTTCAGATAGTTTGCACAAAGAGTTTTTTTGGTTTTTGATGTACACGTTTGTTAAAGTTTTCTCATAGATGACACTTAAAAAAATGTATCACCTGCTTCATTAACTGATAAATTTTTTAAAAAAAACTAAGAAGTGCAACCCTAAACATAAATTTTAAAGACTTAAGCGAAAGAACGAAGATACCAATATCTAATTAATACTAGAGATAATTATACTGAATGCTAGAATAACAATAAACATTCATGTCATTTTTTTATTACTTTTCCAAAAGCATATTTATCCAGAAGTGACCCCGGTTTGGCCAGGCCTGGAATACATACTCAAGTCCATTCAATTGCGCTTATATATTCCGCACAACTCAAATAATGCAAGTAAAGAAAATCATACGTGGCCTAATTTGAACTCACGTCTGTTACGTGTGCCTTTCTAATTGATGCATGGAATAGATTTATCATATTAGTGTTATCATAGGTAACAGCACGCGTGCTTCGGAAATGTTCGATAAATCTGAAAATTTCTGGGATTAATCTTAATTTCTAAAGCAGAAGTGGTATTTAAGACTAAATGTCCCGACACCAGTACAATTTGTAAGTACCACGTGGCAGCACCAAAATAAGTAAAATTTACTTTAATGATAACTTCTGAACCAATGGTCCTATTTTCGATCTCTAAACGGCATTTGACGCCTTTTTAAAATAGAATTTACGCTACCAAGGCCTTTTTCCAAAAATCTAGCAAAAATTCAAATTTGAAATTAATTCTCGAACTTCCGATAAAAAAAAAAAAATGTGGGCTTATAGCGCCATGACGACATGCTTCGTGATTCCAGCGCCGTGACAATCATGCAGGAATCTTCCACGAATGAGATTATGTCCAACAGAGTTCCAAAAGGCGTTAAAATCAAAGAGGTTATGTTGTAGTACATATGTGCCTTATTGTACGACAGAGCGATCGATGTAGTACCCCGACCGAAGGGACAGTTTAGGCCAGTAGGGAGAAGCGGTAAGAAAAATGGGATAGGAAAAGCGATAAACTTGTTAAAATACACCGACCTAATTGGGGTATTTTGTATGTATAGTTAAACACTATTGATTTTAATTTCACGAGTGGAATAGACATTCCAATTTCCCAATTTTAGGACCATGTTTCTCTTGCATTTTACTTTTTGCATTTGCAACATTTCTATAATTTATTACACAATTATATAATATACTACAAATATCCATTGGTATTGATGAACACTAGTGATTATTAGTAAGCTAGTGATTACTGTGGAAATGAGTGCCATAAAAATTAGGTTATTGTTTATTCAAAATAAATCTACACAGAGCCATCCTTGCATTCGACGAATTCCTTAACGGTGCTCCGCACATGTGCGAAGACCTATCACACATTTCTGATTTAGTTTCGAAAGCAGAAGGCACATTTTCACGTCATCCTCTTGTAGATTGTCATTAATGGGTACATTGTATCCCATGCTACACATATGATTATTTCCTTGTTTCAAATATAATAAGTTATTTCGGAAGTAGTCGATGTCGAAAAACTACTTTTTTTTACAGTTTTCGAAATTTGGAATTTTTATAAACGTACAATGCCCTATTTGATTAAAAGGTTGAAAAAATGTAGTCACTTTTGAGAAAATTTTCAAAATATCTTTAGGGTTACATTAAAGAACCGCCTAAAATTATAATACCCGGAACCACCGTGGTTCGGCACCAGATGAATGGATTGATTACTGGAAATCACTTTTTCGTATCAAGAACCAACAAAATTCCAATTACACATGTTTTCGGTAAAGTAATTCACTTCATACACAAAGAAGACAAATCCACTTCTTCGGCATCAAGGACACGAGAAAATAAAAATGCTTCGTGGAATTACACGAATCACTCTTCTATCATCCTCTGGCCTCCACTAAATTCATAATTCGATATCTCGGCGATCTCATTGACACGATATTAAATTCGCACAGTCCCATCTCGTCGGAATAAATGAAGCCAATAGACGATTAGCTATTTTACGTCCGATTCTCAACCGCAGCTCTTCTTTAAAAGTCCATTCTTTAACTACTTACTTACAAACCTGTTCTTCGTACATTAACTTACCATGCATTGTATTACTACATTAAATAAATTACAAATCTTTCAAAACATAATCTTACGAATAACAGTAAAACTCCACTGGTTTGTCAGGAATTTTTGTCAGGAAAATTTACACGTATATGACTCGATTACATCTAATTTATTGCTGAACAGTAGATGCATTTACTTGAATATCACGGGACTATTTGATTAAGAAGACTAAATGCACCGAAAAATACTTCTAGGATAATTCAAAAGATTGCAGCACAATCAGAGGGAAATTTACTTTACTGATAACGTCTGAAAAAACGGTCCGATTTTCGATCTGCAAATTACATTTGACGCCCTTATAAAATAGATTTTACGCCACGAAGCCATTTTTCCAAAAATCTAGCTATAACTCGAATTTGAAATTAGTTCTCAAGCTTCCAAGAAAAAATTTAAAAAATGTGGGCATATAGCGCGATGGCGACATGAATCCTGAATCCAATGCCGTGACAATCATGCAAATCCTACGAATAGGAATGTCGTAAAGTGCAATTTAGGAAAAGACCTCGCTCTCCCCCTCCCCCTTATGGGCCGTTGCGTCACCCCCTGGGCCCTCTGTGGGGTCGGCGGCACGGCCAGGCCAAGCGGCGTGCGGCCAGCCCCGGTGAAGGAGGCGGGACTTGCGGGATACGCAAGCGAGACAGTCGGTTTATGCTTTCGTCACTTTGCATCTCAATCTATTTTTCCACAGATAACAAACTAGAGATGCTACACTACTATTACAGACTGAGGTAAACGGTCTGTAATAGTAGTACATAACTATATTTTTCACATACTTCCGTCTCCCTTCAAATACGATCTTAAAATTGTTTGTGGCATTACACAAAATATCGGTTCCGATTTGGAACTGTCTTAAAAAAAATGAACTAATTCTGTAAATATCACCATTATGCCATCTCCTCACATCATATTTTAGATATATTTTACTTCTAAGGTCTTCTGTTATCATTCCACCTCGCTCTAAGATCTTCCGTTTTCAAATACCAGAAAGAATAAGCGGAGAATACGCACGAGCTCTTATCTGCAACTCGATTTTTGATCTCAATACGACGTTTACCTGATTTAAAGGGCTCATCTGGTGAACCTCTAAATAATATACAAATTAACAACAAATACATTTATTATTTACAAAAATATATGTATACAAAAATATACCCCCCACCCCACCCCACCCCGAAAAACAATCGGTTGGATCCGCTCCTGCTGTGACTCCTCTCCTAACTCCGTAAGGGGAAGGCAATAACACACCATCGAATGTCATCGGAAGCGACCTCAGATCCTGCACAGATCTGGCGTCTCCCACGGCAACACTTCAGGGAGAGAGGCGAAACGATGAGGGGGAGACTTGAATGTTCATCACGCGAGCTACAATTACTGGTAACATTAGGGAAAGTTTTATCTCGTAAACAAAAAGTAAATTATAATTTTGAATTTCTTGGCACTTTTTATGCGTTTAGCCGCAGTATTCTACAGTATAATTTTATTATTATTATTATTATTATTATTATTATTATTATTATTATTATTATTATTATTATTATTTCTATTCATGCAGACTTGCAATTGCATTAACTGACATGCAATACTTTCACAATCTCTGTTGTAAAGACTAACAGACTAACAAGAGAGAGAACACAAAGCTTTTGTGACTGACCAACTAAATTCTAAAAGTTTGTACATCTCATGTTTGTAACGTGAAAAACGGAAATTTGTCATGAGTCATGTGTCATGAGATTGAAGGCAACAATTACCTTTTTCTCTTTCGAGATGACGGCAATGATTTTGTTGGTGTTGTAAGCGATTCTGATGCAGAAGCAACGTTGGAATTCTGATTTTCGCAGTGATTATTTGAGGATCTAAAATATTATTGAAAGAAATGTTAACAAACACTCAATTCATTGGCCATTTTGTACTTGAATGACAGTGCAGTATACTCCTCTATGAAGTTTTTAGTACCTGAGATCTAAAAGCCACTTTCACACTTTGCGGGCACAACAAATTACTTTTGACGTTGAAAACCTGACAAGTGTTCATACTAGTGTAACAATTTTTGTCGCCTTATCTTTCGTAAGGCTGCAATTTGGCAATAATCTCTCTTGAATAGTGCGGGAAATTCAATTACATTGAACAAATAAATATATTTCCAGGTTTAATAAACCACATAAACCACAAGAGGTTGAGCTAAAGAATTCGCCGAAGACCTACAATGTACGTATTTCGCATATTAACGTGTTTTGCAATTTGCCGCCTACGTGAGCAGTCGAGGAAATAGTATATCTGCTTTGACAACATTGAATGAGGTTCAATATCACTTCATCTAATATAGAATGTTCGTGTTCTGAGAAGACAGGAACTCAATGAGTGACATGTTGTTTGCTTCTTGTTCGTAACACAAGTGTACAGCGTATTCATTTTAATTTGGTTTGTGACTTTTGATGGAAAGGTATAATAATGTCTTTATTAATGGCGAGGCTCAGACCACAGGGCCTGCTCTTCCGCCTAACCACTGATTTTACATAAATTTAGAGTAGTAACATTTTAAGAGAGGAGGACAAGCTGTACATTTACGTCTGGGAGAACAAATCTAGGGACCATCCCGGCATACGCCTTAAGCGATTGAGTAAACCCAGAAAAACCTCAATCAGGATGGCGGCTTAGGTCCGAACATTAATAGG